ATTCCCACTTCTGAAAGAGAAAAGAGAGAGGTCTCTAAAATATTCTAAAAAAGATTTCCAAAGGAAAAGGTAATTCTTATTTATACTTTCCATAAAAGGGATTGAAAGAACGAGGTATGATGTGCTCCCTTTCCATACCTGTGTCTCCAGGATGGAAGCATAACACTTAAAAATTGAAAACTGAACATCAAAGAAACGAGGGCCATTGGTCTCCATGAAACCCAACAAAGAAGTTATACTTTTCCTTATACTAAGTGGGGGGTACCTCAGGTATCAGAAGACAATCTTTGGTCACTTCTCGGCTTGCTTTCTTGCTTTAAAACAAAATGAAGAGAGAGGGGAGGCAAATGTTTTCCCAAGTTGGACTAATCATAAAATTATGAGTAGGAAAAATGTAAAATGTTAAGGATCATGTTGAGAACAAGAACCCTTTAATTTCTTTCATCATAAGACTTGTCATTCTGTTGGGTAAGAAATTAGGTGGTTCAATATTATTTCATTAGTCAAGGGTATCTCATGGTAATTTTTTCTCATTTCATTCTGTGGTATGTTTCATCTCCCTCCCCTGGCCTCTACCTCCATGTGCCGTCTTTCTTCTTTTGTGCGTTTTTCTACTTTCCACCAATATGATTCTCCAAAGCCTTTCTCAAGATCCAAACTGAATTTGTCATACTCCAAGAACACTATTTGGCACTCCACCTCAAAAAGGCATGGTTTTATAAAGTACCATGCTATATAATGCGAAAACAAAAAGTATTCTAGTTTTCACTTAATACAATATTGAAGGAAAAAAAACCCCCGAACCAATTTCTGTCTTGGTATCTGTGGATCATTAGTATCGGCCCTGCAGATTTCTAATATCCCTGTCAATTGCTTTTTGAGTAACCCATTTCACTAAGGAGCATAAATAAATATTATAGAAATTGTAAGGATCCCAGTAATAATATCTACCTATGTTAGCCACCAAAAGCCAGTAAGTAAGTGGTAAGGAACCACAAGAACGGATCAAAAGGATGTGCTTGGTGTTTGGTGAATATTTTTATAACTAAGCAAATGGCTTGAGGTGACCAAACAAAGACCAGAGGTAATTTTTAAGTAATTACCTACCTTTTCAGTTAAGCTTTCTGATCCAAGATTTGTTCACTTTAAAAAAAACCGGAGTTCCTTCGACATTAGAGAATGAAACTTTTTCATCCCTTCCCAACCATCAAAAATATGAAGCTGGATATATCATCATATCTATCTTAAAATAGTAATCAACGAGAGAAGAGATAGAAAAGGTCCATGCTCAATTTAAAAGGAACACTGTAATTTATAAATATTTTTCTTGTAAACGGGAGCCAGGAACAGAAATGAACAGGCAAAATGAGAAGGAAAATAAAACCATGACTTTTCAGCCCTCCTGTAGGGAGTCTAAACTATTTTGGGGGGCGGAATGTCAAAATCCACCAGGGTGAACTTTTCCTGCACCTTCTCTGGGAGAATTGCATCATCAGGCCACAGCCATCTGAGATTGGAATTGTTGATTAGCAAGACTACCACTGATGGCACCAATCACATGAGTCCACCAATGGCCCTAGTATCTTTTGTATCTTTCCACATCAAATGGTGATTTCATTTCAAGCCATTTGCTTTGGATGAGGATGACAAAGAATTGAAATTGAAAAACAGCAAGTGAAAAACAACAGCAAAAATCTGAAATGACCACCACAGGCAATGGGGCAATTGCAAAGAAAAGAACCGCAAACCAAAGCAGTCACTTACGGTAGCTACTTTCGCTATCGCTGGCATTAGAAGAAACATGTTCTGCAAGAACAGCACAGCAAATTAAAGAGATACCAAGCACTGGAGAGCAGCCAGAACTTAAAGGAATACATTCATGCAAGGCTACTAGAAACGTGAGCAGAAGGCAAGTCAAAGGCCGCAGAGGAGACTGCATTAAGAAAACTCAGATAAGGTAAAGAAGATGAAAACTTTATCTCCATTTTACAGGAAACTGCTACTTGATTGCTGTATTTTCTTTTTAGCAAACAGGAAAGTGTCTTCAGTTACAAAATGTATAATGTCAACCTAAGTATTTTTCTTTTTATAAGTACTTTGACCCATTCGTATAGGTCTGATTTTCCAGATCTGTGTTATGAAGGTCAAGATGTCTCAGCTGGATGTTTCTTGCCTGTAAATTCAGGACCTTCTAGTGTGTAGACAGCGTTTTCTTGCAGGCTTTTGTTTCTCTCTTTTAGCCTTTAGGCGTTTTGCAGGAATATTTCAAATTGCCCGTTGATGCTTGGAATCCCTTGCCTTTTATTTCTATTTAAATACTCCCTGAACCTATTCTTGGGGATGGAAATGGATTGTTGAAGGTCTTTCCTGCTTCAGAACGAGTAGAAAATCTTTGAGGAAGAAATGAGTCATTGAAAAATGTTTCATGCATCAGTTCAATATTTCCTGTTTTTATTTTAAGATCCTTCCTTGGATAGCTGTTGGGTTCCAGTGGAGGAACAGGCAGGAGGTAAATGGTCTGATACCAACACAGGTCCTGGCACAAAGTGTGTTTTTAATTCATGTTGAATGACTTGCTAGTACAGTGATATTTCAAACTGTTTTTTTCATAAAAATACAGTTTAGCTAACACAACAGGGATGTATTGGTTATGTGCCAGAATTAGAGCTTTTAGTTCCAAAATCATTTCTTTTCATCTGTACTATTTATTAAGTTATAGAAAATAAATTCCTCAACTTACCAACTTCTTAGTATATCAGGTTAATTAAATGAAGAATACGCGACTGCTTGATGTCTGAAGCTCATTAGCAATAACTTCAACTTTTTAAAAAGTGACATCTGTTGCACATTTTTAGGAAAAGGAAAAGAATATATAACATCATTCTTTAACAGTAAAAAAGTGCTTTAAAATGTATTTTATATTATAGATTCTTGCCAATTGGATGGATCAGTTTTCTTTTTTTAGCTTTATTGAGGCATAACTGACAAATAAAATGGTAATATATTTAAAGTGTACAATGTGATAATTTCCTACATGTATACATTGTGAAAGGATTCCCACAATCAAGTTAATTAACACATTCTGGATGGATTAGTCTTAGAGCATGAAACTAATGAAAATAAAAGCATGAGTTCAGTTCACACGAAGCATTCCTCTTTGTGTTGGTGTATAACCAGAATTACATTGCTGATTTAGGCGCACATTTTATAAGTGCAAAGGGGCACTAGGGAAAGAAGTGTGGATGAATCAGTGCAAATTTGTTTTCTGTTACTGACAAGAAAGTCAAGCCACACATCAATAATAGCGTATCTTCATGTACATGATTACCTTAAGTATCTTGATTTGGAGATGACAGGGTTTTTTGTTTTTGATTTTTACTTTTAAAATAATTTAGAGTGAAGCTACCATGCAGTGTTTTATTTAACAATCGATCTCTCTTGGCATCAGGATATAGTACAACAGAATTTTTCAATTTTGTAGATAAAGAGAAACTGAAAATATGTTCTAGCTAAAGTCCAAACTATGACTAACAATAGCATTAGTAGGCAAATAACTTTACTTAGTGAAATCTGTTCACTTTTTAAAGAGTAAACAAACATGTGCACATTCTGGATTTAAAAGGGCATCACTGATATTTTTGACACTCCAGCAGCAACTGCTTTTTAGTCATGTTCATTTATTACCAATATATTAAAATGCTTCTTTCTCCTCCCTCCCCAACTGAAAATTTAGAAACTCTCTTGTGGTACCTGATGCTATCCAGATAATGTTGAAATCAATATTTGAACTTCAACGACTAATTCAAGAAAAATTTCATGACATATTCCATATAGAGTCTCAAAGATAAAGTTTTCATCTTTAAGGAGAAAAATAGTTACTCTTGGTCAGATTTTGTTTTCTGTATATACATATCTAAAGGAAAAGTCGAAATTAACAATTTGAAGGATGAAGGGTATCACTACGCAGGGTTACGTAAACAGCTCTTGAAAACAAAGTCCAGCTCAATGTTATTTTGTTTTATACAAATGAAATGAACAGCTTCTAAAAATGTTGCCCATAGCTGTTAAATTAAAACAAAACAAACCAAAAAAGTGAACATGTGATACAGTTGTGAAAGACACAAAAATCTGTTTTTATTTCATTGGTGCCTACACAATGGAGTTAGTATTGAAAAAAATCATAGTACGCTATATTAATACAGAGGATTATTAGTTTTTATTGCTCAGTGCAATGAGACAGACTAAAGGCATTAATAACTAGAAAATTTAAAAGTTTAATATATTTTATTTTCCACTCTATACTAGAAAATGAAGACCTGATTATGTAACGCAGCTAATAAATCACTGATAGGAAAACATATTAATACATATCTAAAATTTTATCATACAAACGTTTCAAGCAGGATCACTGCAAGTCAGAAAAAAAATCAATCAAAGTTAATAACAAAGAAGTATTCATGGAAGATCAAATAGCTTAATATTTACTTTTTGAGAATGCATGTTTCCTTTAACTATAAAAATAGCTCCTTTATTAATAGCAAAGAACAACCCAATTATGGAATTTGGCAAGTTCATTAAATACGTCTAGGTGAAAAGGCAGAAGAAAGAACATAAAGTACATTTCTGCTTTCCTGTTCTAGAACATTTCGCTCACCCTTTCTTTCAACATGGCTCCTTGCTCTCTGGGAGGTATTAGGCGGCAGAGCAAGTGATGCCACGATTGGCATCAAGACCATGTTGGTCATTTCACACGGTCAGAAAGGGAAGGTGTGAACTGCAACAGAAGTTACAGCGCCTGACACACTTTGCTTTTAAATGCTGACATGCAGAACAAAACGGTTGAAAATTACTTTGTAGGAGCATTCACAGCTAGGTAACAAATAAAACTCGTATCTTGTGCATGCTAGGAGTGAAAGACCCTCAAGAAAAGGAACAAAAGCCAAACTCAAAAGGAAAGGAAAAGAAAAGAAAAGTTACAGTGACCATTCCTGGGAACTTACTCAGAGTCTTTGTTCCATAACCGTCGTCACCTAATCCGGGGATGTCCTGCATGGAAGTCCCCAGAGAGAGCAATGAGAGAGGAAGAACAGCCACGGAAGAGGAAGGAAGAAGTCAGTGGAGTTGAAATGGATACTACCATGACAGACCATGTTGCCTAAGCAATCTGGATCCCACTCTCTCTTCTTTTGAAGAAACTTTGACCCCAAACTCCCTGGGCTGAGACTCAAGGATTTGTAAAACAATTCGAAAAGTTTAAGCAGAAGATCGTTACAAAAAAGAGAAAGATTCAGTGAATGCCATTTTTGCCCATTGTTAATGTTGCCACAGAAATGTCACTTAGGGCAATGATCTGCTCCAAGTTTCCTGACAAATTCTTAGATTTAGTGTACACCAACACAAGCTCGCTGCTCAGTAAGTAAGTGTTTAATATTGGGAGGGAAAGAGTGAACAAATGCTAGTAATCAATGTAGGCAAGTTAATCGCTCCCAATCGGTTAGCATTCCAAAAAATATATGTGGCAATGGAATCCAATATTTCTGTCCAGAAAAGAATTTGTCTCAAGCCCTAGAGAGTTGCATGATAGAAAAGGCAAACCAGACGCAGTGCTGGTCACAGATAAACACTGTTTGGAAGCCAAGTCCCAGCTTCCTCAATTCCCTCTCCAATGCATTTTGCAAAGAAGAGCCACATCAAGGGAAGGATCCAGACTGCAGCCAAACACTGGTCACAGTAGTAAGCCCTGACCTGCCTGCCTGCCGTGTTTGTTTGCCTAGGCGTGTGGCGTGGGGGAGCCTACATCATGCGTGTTGCCCGTGAAGGATTTTTTTCTCTTGTGTTGCATGTGACATTTTCTTCGAGAATCTACTTACGTTCAGGATCACTGGTTTCCTGCTCACTCTGCTCCTTGTTCTTGTAGAATGGGAATTTTCGTGAAAAGATGAAGCTCTTTTTACGCTTGTCATTGAATGACTGTGAAGGAGAAAAGGCATGGGGCAAAAACAGGGGACGTCTAATTGTTGTCACACTCATGCTGACAAAACAACTAGTTTGTAAAAGCAGAGAGCTGTAGTGACGCAAGTGGATAGTCTAAAGAGGCGCCAGAGGGTCCCTAAAGGTGGATTTTATTTTCAAGGAGTGTAAATTCTGAATGATGACACCTTGGAAAAATTGTCTCCTGATTAAAAGACTGGTTGCAGATAAATGGTGATGGAGGAAAAGAGTATTAAATTGGAAGACCCAGAGGCTTTGTCTGGCTCTAAAACTTGCTAGTCCATCACCTTAGGCAGGTAACTGAATCTCTCTGAACCTCAGTATCTTCTTTATCTGCATAACGATGATAGCAGCTCTTAGGTTGTGAGACTCATATAAAGAAAGCAGTATAAACATAGAGTGTTATACAGACGTCATCTTTATCATCGTCATTGTCATCAGGTAGAAAAGACTTTACTAGGACACTAGACACATTGGTGTCTACTTATCTTTTTAAATAACTTGAATTTGAGTTACTTCAGCTTGATTTAGTTAAAACCACACAGAGAAATGTGTAGATTTATGGTATATGATAATTATAGTTTCACACACAGATATATGATTATTATGGTTTAATATTTTCATTCAAAAGAGATTTTAAAGCTAGTGGAGCCCCAAGCCCTCATTTATAGACAAGGGGCCAGAGGCCCAGAGAGGTTGAGTCCCTTATCAATGGCACAGAGTTAGCTGGTGACAGTCAGGACACCAAAACAGATTTAACCAGAATCTGTTAAAATTCTTGCCAAGGAGGTATTAACTTGATATTCACTCAAGCAAGGGAGATATAATGGTCACTTATCTATATTCTGATATGAGAAAAAATAACGGAAGATGGACAGTTCTTAAAAATGTAAACCACTCTGTTAGCTTAAAGGAGGCTGAATTTAAAATAGTACAGATATACATAATATAATACATATATTAGAACTTATTCATTCAAGTGAATATCAGATGCTTGTCTAGAAGACTCCTCAAGAAAATTTCATTTATTCCCACTGTTGCTGTTACGTAAGTGCTTTCTGGAACTCTTCTTTGGGAAATATGTTCACAGTTATTTTATAAGCTATAAGCCATGCAAGTCTTAGTAATTTCATATTCATGTATAATTTAAAAAATATATTTCATCAACTTGATTATCATCCTTAATTTGACTGATTTGGGTCTGAGGGTCATTCTCCAAGGAACAAGATTTTTTACCACATAGGTATTAAAATGAGCGTGCCAAAGACTGAAAGTAATTTGACAAGGGTATTCTAAAAGAGTACTGGCAATGGCAGCTGGTAAGAAGAAATGTGGAGCCAGCAGGGTGACTACTTAGAGGAAAAGCACTTGTTTGATGTACATATGTTTGCCCACTGGTGGGAGTCAGTTATGTGCCCTTGGGGATTTGAAGCTTGACGAAATGGTATAAATAACTTATTTTCTTTGTACACTCATGCACTCCTATATCAAACAGCCATTTTGGTAGTCATGTTTATTTAGGAAATAAAGTACTAAAATGTTGGTGCTGTCAATCATGACTTTTTTAGTTACTAGGAACTTCCACCAAAGTCAGTGGGGCTTAATTTTATGTACCATTAAGAAGGCTTTAAGAAAAACAATAAATCAAATATTTAATGTTTTGAAATTAGTGGACACGTTTTATACTTCATAGTCAAGGTCTAGAAACACATTCTCAGGGGAAAAAATGAAGAATCACTTCAGAATTTATTACTTTACTGACAGCACTTATGTTCAATATAGTTTTATCAGAATTTGTATTTGAGATTGGTGTCCAAAAGACAAGGCTGGAAATTCCGCCCAAATTTTCCCAGTTAAAAAATAGTAAGTCCTTAAAAGAACATTAAATATTCTTGCATCACTCCAGTTTCATGCCACTTTTACATTTCAAGCATATTTAAACTTCAGTAACTGAAAATAAAACAAAAAAAATATCATGTAAGAAGTAATGACACGTGATATTGCAAGATATGTTAGACATTTAATTTCAACATTACAAATGACTTGTCATGCAAAAAAAAATTTACAAATTTTCATGCAAACACAAAACAATGCCAAGAGGAGCAAAGCTGGGGGTTAAAATGTAGACACAAATGGACAATGTGGAAGCCTTGGAGGGCCAAAGTGGGGCCACATGCAAACCACTCATTTAAATTGTCTCACAGGGTCGAAGGAAAATGAAAATGTGTTGTCTGTGATTAATTCTTTTATCTTTTAAAAGAAAGAGCTATAATGTGTTAACGTTTCCCAAGTATGAAAATGTTGTGTATCATGAGTCATCTGATTGGGATATAATAATATTTAGCACCACGCTTTTTAAAAGAATAGAAAATACATAATAATTCTTCAAAAATAAAATTATCTAATCTATCAGTCCTATTTTCCAAAGCCATTTCGTGCTGGAATTAAAGAGAAAGTAGTATAATCATCCATGGTTACAATGCCTTACATTTATGGACACAAAACCAAATCACAACTTCAATTCATATAGATTTAAAAGTCACACATTTAGGCTCTTAGTTAGACATTTCAACTATAAGAGGTTATATATGGTTTACAATGATCTAACGCTATTCTTTATTTTTTATTAGACATGTAGCATACCATTATATAAGCTTTTTTATTGCTGTTAATTTTTTCTTTTAATTTCGAAATGGAAAATCTGTTACATGAGTGTTAGGTGAGAATAATAAATTAGCACTTTTACTATTTATAGAACACAAGGCATTAACGCAAGTGAAGGCTGGTTTATAGCTCTATTAATCATCATTGATCAATGTTATTTTTTCTCTAAATTACACTATCTTAAATTCCGATCCATCACTTTCATGGCAGGAAACTTCTGTGAATAGAGACTTTGAAAATACCAACCATATGTGACAAGGGGCAAGTTGGCAAATTTAAGAATTCCATTTTGGGATTTGACCTGAATTATTGAGTTCTTATGAACAAAAGAGACACAACAATAATTAACATTTACTGAGCACTAATTATGTGTCAGGCTTGGTTCTAAAAGCTCTCCGTGTGCTAATCTCCACACTAATGATGAGGTTGGTACCATCGTTATTGCCATATTACAGATGAGGAAACTGAAGTTTACAAATCTTCTATTACTTGCCCAGAGTCACAAGGTGGTGAGCAATAAAGTCAGGATTTGGATTTGCAAATATTCCTGGTTACAATTATAGCTGTTCTTACGAGCAAGAAAAGTTTCTACAACCCAAGCCTATTTCAAATTTATGTTTAAAATTATTAGCATTTGACTCTCATGATACCATAATCTGTCATCATTCCCACAGTTTCTCTGCTTGGCAATTATTTATTTAAGGTATTAGATGCTATTGGCTTCAACAATATTTTTGGGGGTTAGCCTGCTACAATTTTTTTGATAGCCATTTATGTTTTTGAGGGCTCTATTCGATGGTTCTTGTTGTTATAATAATGCAAAAAGAAATAAAATATAAAAAATTTCAGTGGACATGTTATGAATGGCAATTAAAAGGTAATTAATTGCCCACAACAGGCAAATTTGTAGAGACAAAGTAGATTAGTGGTTGGTTAGGGCTGGAGGTAGGGGATACAGAGAGTGGGAAGTGATAGCTAATGGGTATGGTGTTAGTTTTACGGGAGATGAAAATGTTCTAAAATTAGATTGTGATGATTGCATAACCCTATGAATACACTAAAAAACACTGAATTGTACACTTGAAGTGGGTGAATTGTATACTATGTGAATTATATCTCAATAAAGCCATTAACAAAGAAAAGTAACCCCTCCCCAATCCCCGCACCATGGGATGAGAAGAAACAACCACAGCATGTTTTTGTTTTCATTTGGTATAAATTTTTTATCTTTAATCGAATGAGAGGAAACCACCCTTCCCAACCCTTGCAATCAATCAGATAAACATTCCTTGTTTATCTGATTCTGTTGTGTCTCTGTTAAATGAATACCTTTCATGTTGTGACAGACATTAGAACACCCATACCAGGAGTCAGTATATTATCACTGTCAC